GAGAGAGAGAGAGAGATAAAGTAGAGAAAGATATAGTGGGAGGAGAGAGAGAGAGAGAGAGAGAGATAAAGTAGAGAAAGATAGTGGGGAGAGAGAGAGGTGCGTTGAAGAAGGGACAGCATAAAGTGTTGAACGTAGAGAAATAGATGTAGTAGAGTGTGTGAGACAGGTCTAATGAGTAGGGGGCTGTGGGCGATTGAAAAGGGTAAAATCAAAGGAAGGGGGAGCGAGAACCAGAGAAGGAGAAGATACAGACTGGGAAGCAGAGAGGTTACGCGAAAAGAGCATACGCGAGCGTATGCGTGTGTGCGTGCGTGCGTGCGTGCGTGCGTGCGTGCGTGCGTGCGTGCGTGCGTGTGCGTGCGTGTGCGTGTGCGCGCGAGAGCTAGTAAGCGATAGAGAGAGACAGAGACAGACCAAACAAGATAGAGAGGGAGAGAGAGAGGAGAGAGATAGGGAGAGAGAAAGAGAACAAGGAGAAGAGCGAGTGACAGAGAGTGGTAGAAACCTAGAGAGGCTAAAATAAAGAAATCCAAATGTGAGGCAATCAGAGAGTTATACGAGCGCTTTGGAGAATAGGGGTACGAACCGCACCGCCCATAGACGTTCTGTCGTCGTTAACGGAATTTCAGTTTTGACAAAAAGCACTTTGAAACGAACCATTCTAGCTAGAACGACACTCAAACGCCGAAGCAGTGCTATTCTGAACTAGCGATTTACCACACAACACATTTCTGCAACGAATACCTCGCCATACAGCCACACATTTAAACCAATCATCTTCCCCCTTTTTATACGCCACGTAAAACTTAATGACCTTCACTATAGTATACACGACAAAACACTCTACTCTCTAAAGAAACAAACACCATGATCCAACACGCAATCAATTTCTCGATTAGGACAAAGTCGACGGTCTGTATACGCTATAATGAGCTTCCCGGTTAGGCAATAAATGATATCATTACCCATATACCCACTTCAGACTGGCGGCAGAACCGCTGTCACGTAACCGAAAATAGATCGCTCGGTGACGTCACCGCGTCGGGATGAATTCGAACGAAAATTAAATCGAGCGAAGGTCAGTAGCCACTAACAGCGATTGGTTTTTATAATAAAATAGATTCTGTATTATTTATAGATTATATACATGAAATAGATATAAACGCGAGCGCGTGTAGTACTCGGCAACTCGCGTTGTTGTAAAGCTGAGACAAGCAAAGCAAGCTGGAGAAGCAATCCGCCATTTGAGTCTACAGCGGGAGTTCTTTGTCGGCGGAAATCTGCGCATGCGCAGACGAATCAGCCCGCCGGGGAGAATTTGCAATCGGGAGCAGGGAGCGCGAAAGTAGCTCACAATCTCGGGCCCGAGTCAATTGCATTCGAAAACATTCGCGAGAAAGCGTGGAATATGCCGTCGGCGACGCTGCACATGCATCTCCTTGCGTCGTCTTCTGCCTGCGTCAGACGCAAGCGCTTTGTGACGCGACACGCGGCGCAGGGATGACGTAGCATTGCGCGGTGATGTATGCGCGAATGCGTTAAAAATATGGTGAACCTATCGCTGAAAACAAGCCTCCTGATTCTAACCCTACCCCTAGCTCCGCTGGACTGTTATTGTTGTACATGCATCAGTAGTTACATCACAGAGACGAGCGCGACTGACGGCACGGCGACGGAAATATTTAAATCTGGGGCCGAAAGAGTTAAAGCCTCGCTATCGGGTCCGGCAGAGCTTTACCGACGGTCCGATTGCTAGGCATGCGACCGGAGATTGTCATCTGCCGTCATTCCCACCATGCTAGCCATAGCTGTGTTTACAACCCCGTGGAGACACCCACCGTTATCAGGGCCGTGGCTAGCGGAGGAGGGGAGGGAGGCAAGGAGGCAGTCCTCTCCCCCCAGAAAAATACAAACAATACATGGTCAACGGCGGGGTCACCTTCCTAGAATCGAACCACAATACACCACGTAGCTTTACCCTCAAACAAAATATGTTCGCTACGCTCCTGGGGTTATTAGCACCTTCAATCATGTAATACCGGTTAAGCGTGCATGAACTCCAATGTTCATATTGCGTGTGATTTATAACACGAGCGCGTCTATTTGGTTGCGTAATTTTGGTACTTTAATATAACGTAATATCTCTTGCTTTTATATATAGTAAGTCACAGTACCTGGCATACACGCTCACGGGGTTCGTTTGGACGGTTTGCGGCGCATGAGCAGGACGAGTACTTGTTTATATGTCTGTTAACAATTTTCCCTTTTTATAATCTTGTTTTCGGTATGAGATTGAATTCAGAACAAGTGCTTGCCTGCGTCGTTGCGTGCGCGTATAAGTGCGTGCGTATTTGAGAGTGAAGTCAACATAGAAAATAGAGAGAAAGCCAAACAGGAAGACAGGCAGACAGCCAGCGAGCTAGACATTATTATTATTCACTCCTGATAACATGCTAGTTTTAAGTCTTGCTATTCGTTATCCATGGAATCATCTCGCCGTTAGAATAACGAACTCGCTAACATTTACAACGGTAAACGTTTATGAAACGTCTCCTCGTGTCATATTTGCGTAAATTGCGAGATATTTTCCGCGAACAATCAAACGATAATCCGATGCAAATGTAGGCCTACACTCACTTTGCGCCGGTGAAAATCGCTATTCAGTAATAAAGCAATAACGACAATATTCCATAGAGAGACAAGCTCGGAATGCAAGCTAGACGGCTACAGTAGGTCGTAGCGATTGGCATTAAAGTCGGTACAGCAGCAAGTGAAATTGATGGATGCGGCATATATGCCATCTACGATTTGCGATTGCTTCGTTCAAGGTCCACCAGCCGTCCTGTTACTTGATAAATTTCTCCCTAGATTCATTTGACTCTCACAAATATGTCGATAACGGGTATGAATGAATAAGTCAAATGAAATAGTTACACACACACCGGACATGTATGTGTTAGGGCAAGCACGAGGAAGAGTTTTATTTGAGCAGCAAAATAGAAGGCATTTAACCTCTTTGTGGCGGAATGTGAAACGAGTAATATTCGCTAAAACGGCTTTACCACGGCCGATGCAACGCCCCCTATTGAGAGCGGTCTCGGTGCAAGATTGAAGTGCTTTTCAACCGCCTCCCTAGCCACTCTTGCAACCGTAGGACTTAATTACTCTATTATGAATGACACAAGGGACTAATTAAACTTAATTAGGCTATTCTCGATCTTTATGATTCTGAACCGATCTCACTGGAACATCGCAAGGAGAGAGGCCCGTCTGACATATATCGAGCTGTATGCATGCACACGCAATATAATCAATAAAATGCGATGAGAGGATGAGTGAAAATCTCGGAGGCGGTTTCGGCTATTAATGCATGTTGATTACGGCAAAAGTCCATATTCTGTGCGTGTGTTAATGTAGGTAGCCTACTTTAAATTGTCTACGTCACGAATCTCCTGAGAGTTATAGTTGTAACCTTACTTTTGTATAGGTTAAAGCACCCCGCTGACATTTCACCGCAGCTCTGCATGTCACACGTAATAGTAATATGACACACTGATATGATGACTGGCGCGTGATTCACAGCATCACTGCACACGCCATAGTAACACAGATGCGGATGCTGCGACATGAGAGATCACAGCATCCCTGCTGATAACGAACGCACTCATTAACACGCATCGCTACTACGCATCTCTCTCCCTCGAACGTTACAGTATTATTAACGGCCAATTATAACATCGAGTTTTTTTCTCTCTAATGAATACGAATGCCGCAATATTTCGTACGATAAAGTGTCCACGTGAGAAAAAAACACATGCGGGTGAAGTAAGGTGATTATGAAGCCGTTCTGTGAACTCCGACGATGAAATTAACTCGCACGCTAATATGTCTATAGTTATTAGTTAATTACTTTGATCACACCGTCGATTATCGTAGCGTCTCATCTTGCCGCAGTCTCTCAGCTAGACTCAACG